GCAAACCTAAGCACTCACGTAGCCTAACAGCCATGGGCCACTTAATGGAGTTGTGAATTGGCCTAGGTATCTCTAGGGCCTCTGTGAACTTTCAGTATTTGAACATAAATTGTATAATTATGAACATCTTCTAGAGAATGCAAACAAGTATAGCCATCAATTCATTCACCTTCTTGTTCATTTACTCACCATGTGAAATACATGGAACTAATTTATTTTGATACACCCTAAAAGGCAAGCCTGCAAGTCAATTGGGAATACTAGTGTTTTTGTGCAGAAATGTTTACCAGGGGGGAGAAATACCTCATGAGACAGTGGATAATTTTGAAGTGTAGACTTCTCCACTCTTCAATCATTTAACCAATCAAACCCCAGACTCTCTTGAATCTAGGTAACCTCAGTGGTCCCCAAGTCCTCTATGTTTGTTTTCTTCTTTTGCAGAAAATTTGAACATTTCTTCCTAGTCTCTTTTCAACTCATGCCATCAGACCTCACCATGGACCTTCAAGAGATACATTAAGAGGTTTTACTCAATAAAGACTATTCTTCCCATAAGAAGAATTTCTGTTTCAGCTAGCAAAAACAGTAATTTTCACCATGCCTTACAAGAATAGTATATTTAAAAATACGTTCATAGAGTTTAGATATGTTTTTAAATGCTTAAAGTTGCAGGTCTCTATTTTCTGAAATTATCCACCAGTGAAGACAGATAAAGAGAATATATTAGCAATATGCTACTACACTGATTGGAAGAAAAAAAAAACTTCATTTATTCAGGTGTGCTGAGTGTGTGTGTGTGTGTGCGCATGTGTGTGCATGCTCAGTTGCTTAGTCATGTCAGACTCTTTGCGAGCCCATGGACTATAGCCCTTCAAGCCCCTCTGTTGATGGAATTTTACGGGTAAGAACACTGGAGTGGGTTCCCATTTTCTTCTCCAGGGTATCTTCCTGACCCAGGGATTGCACCTGACTCTTGCATCTTCTGCATTGGCAGGTGGATTCTTGATCACTAGTGCCACCTGGGAAGCCCTGCTGAGTAAGTAGTCAGTTATAATTTTTTTTTTTTAATTCCAGAATCACTACAGTCTCCAATATTTTACCCTTAGAGTTTTCTTCCTTTGGTTAAGCATTGTCCTCTTCAGGTAAAATTGCATAAAGTATCAAAACTCATTAGACAAATATACTTGGGTCCATTAACTTCACCACAAACTTCATAATTTCAGCATAAACTTAATTTCTAAGATCACAATTTCCAGGTCAAACATACACAGACAAAACTCTAGGAAATGAAACAAGTTTTGTCTATATCTGAGTAACTTCTAGATAAATTACCAAGGTTTGGGGCCTGTTTAAAAGGCTGTTTATATATGATTTTTTAAAAATCTCTGAAACTTCATGAATTATAAAACCAAAAAGAAAGAAAGCAGTACTAGATGAAAAGACAACCTTCAGAATGGGGGAAAATAATTGCAAATGAAGCAATGGACAAAGAATTAACCTTCAAAATATATAGGCAATTTAATATCAGGAAATCAAACAAGCCAATCAAAAATTGGTCAGAACTCCTAAAGAGACATTTCTCCAAAGAAGACATACAGATGGCCAATAAACACATGAAAAGATGCTCAACATGGCTCATTATTAGAGAAATGCAAATCAACACTAGAATGAGTTTTCATCTCCTACCAGTCAGAATGGCCATCATCATCAAAAATCTATAAACAATAAATGCTGGAGAGGATGTAGAGAAGGGAGATCTCTTGCACTATTGATGGGGAATACAAATTGATACAGCCACTATTGAGATTCTTTAACAAACTAGGAATGAAACTGCTGTATCACCCAGTAATTCCACAATGGGGGCATATATCCTGAGGAAACCACAACTCAAAAGGACACATGTACCCCAATGTTCACTGCAGCACTATTTACAATAGCCAGGACATGGAAGCAACCTAGATGTCCATCAAAAGATGAATAGATAGAGAATTTGTGGTACATATATACAATGAAATATCACTCAGCCATAAAATGAGCAAAGTGAAGCAATTGAACTGAAGTGGATGAACCTAGAGCCTGTTACACAACGTACAGTAAGTCAGAAAGAGAAAAGCAAATACTGTATATTAACCTATATATATGGAATCTAGATAAATGGTACTGATGAGCCTATTTGCAGGGAGGGAAAGGAGATGCATACATAGAGAATGGACTTGTGAACACACCTGGGGGACAGAGAGGGTGGGTCAAATTGGAAAAGTAGCATTAACATATATACACTACCATGTGGAAAATATATAGATAATGGGAAGCTGCTATATAACACAGAGAGCCCAGTCTGGCACTCTGAACTGACCTAGAGGGGTGGGATGGTGAGGAAGGTTGAAGGGAGGTGCAAGACGGAGGGGATATATATACATACACATATGTATATAAATATATATATAGTTATGACTGATTCATGTTCTTGTATGGCAGAAACCAATACAACATTACAAAGCAATTATCCTCCAATTAAAAGAAAAATCCACTTTAAGAAATTTACACAATTCATCAACTCATTAGAAATTATTTCAGAAGTATTAGGTCTATAATGTCCGAAACTGTTTTCTGCTCTTAGTTATAGACAGCAAGGTGCTGTCAGCTGTTATTGAAATGAGAGCCAATCAAATCTTCAGTTCAGTTCAGTTCAGTCACTCGGTCCTGTCTGACTCTTTGCAACCCCATGTACTGCAGTATGCCAGGCCTCCCTGTCCATCACCAGTTCCTGGAGTCCACCCAAACTCATGTCCATTGAGGTGGAGATACCATCCAGCCATCTCATCCTCTGTTCTCCCCTCTTCCTCCTGCCCTCAATCCCTGACAGCATCAGGGTATTTTCCAATGAGTCAGCTCTTCATATCAAGTGGCCAAAGTATTGGACTTTCAGCCTCAACATCAGTCCTTCCAATGAATACTCAGGACTGATCTGTTTTAGGATGGACTGGTTGGATCTCCTTGCAGTCCAAGGGACTCTCAAGAGTGTTCTCCAACATCACAGTTCAAAGCATCAATTCTTCAGTGCTCAGCTTTCTTTATAGTCCAGCTATCACATCCATACATGACTACTGGAAAAACCATAGCCTTGACTAGATAGACCTTTGTGGGCAAAGTAATGTCTCTGCTTTTTAATAAGCTGTCTAGGTTAGTCATAACTTTCCTTCCAAGGAGTAAGTGTCTTTTAATTTCATGGCTGCAATCCCCATCTGCAGTGATTTTGGAGCCCCGAAAAATAAAGTCAGCACTGTTTCCGTTTTGCCATCTATCTGCCATGAAGTGATGGGACTGGATGCCATGATCTTAGTTTTCTGGACGTTGAGCTTTAAGCCAACTTTTTCACTCTTTTTCACTTTCATCAAGAGGCTCTTTAGTTCTTCACTTTCTACCATAAGGGTGGAGTCATCTGCATATCTGAGGTTATTGGTATTTCTCCCAGCAACATTGATTCCAGCTTGTGTTTCATCCAGCCCAGCATTTCTCATGATGTACTCTGCATGTAAGTTAAATAAGCAGGGTGACAATATACAGCCTTGATGTACTCCTTTTCCTATTTGGAACCAGTCTGTTGTTCCATGTCCAGTTCTAACTGTTGCTTCTTGACCTGCATACCAACTTCTCAAGAGGTAGGTCAGGTGGTCTGGTATTCCCATCTCTTTCAGAATTTTCCACAGTTTATTGTGATCCACACAGTCAAAGTCTTTGGCATAGTCAATAAAGCAGAAATAGATGTTTTTCTAGAACTCTCTTACTTTTTTGATGATTCAATGGATGTTGGCAATTTGATCTCTGGTTCCTCTGCCTTTTCTAAATCTAGCTTGAACATCGGAAATGTCACAGTTCACGTATTGCTAAAGCCTGGCTTGGAGAATTTTGAGCATTACTTTGCTAGCATGTGAGATGAGTGCAAGTGTGCAGTAGTTTGAGCATTCTTTGGCATTGCCTTTCTTTGGTATTGGAATGAAAACTGACATTTTCCTGTTCTGTGGCTACTACTGAGTTTTCCAAATGTACTGGCATATTAAGTGCAGCACTTTCACAGCATCATCTTTTAGGATTTGAAATAGTTCAGATGAAATTCCATCACTTCCACTAGTTTTGTTCATAGTGATGCTTCCTAAGGCCCACTTGATTTCACATTCCAGGATGTTTGGCTCTAGGTGAGTGATCACATCATCGTGATTAAACCTTAAATCATACCATCTAATCAAATCTTAGATAGTATAATGTATTCCTAAACTAAAGTGTTACATTACTTAATTAGTCTAGACTAATTATAAGAGCATTTCAAGTCTGGTGAAAGATCCAGTGTTTTCAACACTATTTAGGAGAAATGTTCTAGTGGTGGAAGTCCCAGTCTACTTACTGCTTTATTCTTTTTTTTTTTTTTTTTTCATGGTACCTTATTTTGCTTTAATATCCCAAAATACTTGTGTGAATGGGACTATGCTGCAAAATGAGAGAAAGTTGTAGACAAGTACGTCTCCCTCTGAAGAAAGAAGTGATTGGAGAGAAGGCACCAGAAACTGCGTTTTGCTAGATGACATGTAAACATTAAATGAGGGAAAGGCTCACCAAGGAGAAAGGAGTTCTCACTGTCATATCATGGGGCAGATCCTAAAGATGGACATTGGCCTCGTACACTGATGCTCAGCCTCCATCTTCCAGTGCAGTGTAAACAGGACCCGATGCTAAGGAGACAAACACCCACACAGAGGCGGTGCACAAGGACACGAAAAGGAACCAACAGTAGCATAAGCCCCCGGGCTTCTCTTTCCCACATGGCTCCTGCAGGCATGTCAGTTGGCAGAGCCTCGGAATAGTACCATTTGTCAACAGCTGGTTAGTGGAAAAACCAAATCCTAAAAAGCCTGGGTGAATACATTTTGTTTCTGTCTGTGCTCTTCAATCAGATGACTCGGAGGGCCTGGGGTGGAGGGACGTACCACATCTGGCCTGTCTTCTTAGGTGATAACAGTGGGGGCGGTGCGTCCCGTCTTTTCCTGGAGCTGGGACACCTTCAGGGCAATGGAAATAAGGGGAGCCAACATGACCTGGGGGTCCTGGTAGATCTTGGCGAGATCCTTCTCATAGCTGTCGATGTACAGTCGGATGGTGGCTCCTGCACTCCCAGTGCCGCTCAGTCGAAAGATGATGCGAGAACCGTCTGCAAAAATGAGCCGCAAGCCCTGATTTCTTGAAATGCTTCCATCCACCGGATCGCTGTACTCAAAGTTATCAATTTTCTCCACAGTGTAAACTTTATCACTCACTGGAAACTGTTTCCCCACGAAGGAGCGATCAGAAATCAGGGCCTCCAACTCCTTCATCATTTTGTTTGCGCCCTCGGCTTCCACCTCCTCATAATCATACCTGGTGAAGAAATTCCGCCCATACTTTTGCCAGTGATCTTTAAGAATGTCCTCCACACTCTGTTTTCGGGTGGCTAGGATGGAGAGCCAAGCAAGGACAGCCCAGAGACCGTCTTTCTGCTTTATTCTTAAAAATAAGTTGCCAGGCACATTGCAACCTTCTTCCCTACCTTTCATTTGCATCTGTGATTCATTTCATTATAGGCAGCATTGTAAGAACAAAATGACCCTGCTAACTGCCTGTTGATTCCCACAAAAATTTGTTAGTATATCTGCAATTTCATAAAAGCATTTTGTATTATCTTGTTATAAACTTATATATTGTATTCATTCTGAGCATATAACTTTTTACACCCAGTTGTATCCCATGCTATCTTTGTACTATAAATTTGTACTCATGATTTTCTGCAGAGGATTTTAAGCTAAGGACTCTGGGAGGAAAACTGGAATGTCTCTCAAAGTGAAAAAAGTCAGCGATGATATCTGGACAGAGAACATACTATGTGCCAATAATTAAGACAGACATGCCCCCAAATATAAAATTAGAGTCAGTTGTCAAAAGTTAAATAAAAGGACAGGATAACTGTGTCAGAAAATGTTTCTGCAAATGCAGTCTACAAAAATCTGCAAATTATAGGAAAAAAGCAGAGGTTAAATTGAACATGTTTTAAATGACCATTATTAGAGTTTAGTTTGAATCATTTTCCTAATTAATCATATATTTATTTGAATACTTTCATTTATATAAAGTGGGTAAAATTTTTATGGATACACTTGAAAATTAACTAAAACTTGTTACACTATAAGCCTAATTTGAAGTGAATAGTAGATAGGGGAGTATATACTTTGACCAGTAGATGCACACTGAAGAAACCTAAATTTGGAATAGAAGATGCTTGATTCAGTTTATATTTTCTTTATAATCGCACATAAGGCAGTTTTGATTAGTGAAGCACATCGATATTTGAAGTCAGACATTTGGATTAAAACATTGTTTCTGTCCTTTGCTATATATATATATATATTTTTACTAGCCTGGACATTTGCTTCTGAGTCTCAGTTTCTTCATCTATTAACAGAGATACCCTTCTGATCTCTGAAGAGTGTTGTATGGATTAGTCGGACAGTACACAGGTATTAGGTTCTATGTTATAATGCTGACACATAATAAATGTTCTATAAATGTCAGTTCTATTTGTGTCTTCTTCCTCTTCACTTTTGGACTCATATCTTCTTTATCTCTACAATAGAAGCTATAAAAGCTAATATAAATAAAGCTAGTATACTATTTGTTACTAATGTTATAGTAATTACATTATTTGTTTAATAAAAATTTTAATAAGATTGGGGTAAATCAATCATATTCACAAACATAATTGTTATCACATTTTGGATCCTCTAAGAAGCAGACCCAAGACAAAATTTAAAGTTTATTAGGGACTGCCTTTGAGATTGACACCTGTGAGGGGGGAAGAAACAGAAATGGACAAAGAAAGAAATAAAAACATGTTGTAGACTTGATATCTTGAACTGACTTCACAGAGAGCACTGGAGTATAAATAGACCAACAGAAGTGTCTTCTTACTAATAAGAATTGACCTATCTTGGGTCTTCACTGATTGATATTTAAATGTTGTCCAGAGTGGTCTCCACTGGCTGGAATTCAAAAATTTCCCAGTCCTATTGAAAACCAGGACTTGTGAACTTTAAAGATTCCTGGCTTCCGACCTCCTTCATGAGTTTTCACTCTGTGCAAGTGTTGAAAGGTTTTCAGCAAAGGGTCAATGGAACCCCATTCTTATTTCTGGGCCTCTCTCTTCATGATGCCCTCCTTTTCAGCATTCTGCCTTCCAAATTCTGCCTGTGGCAGTTTTCCTGAGCTTTGATCTCTGTCTCCTCAACTAAGCAAGACTACTGGCTCTGTTTTGGTTCCTCTTTACTGCACCAAGATTCAGAAATTAAAAATCTGGTACAGTCCTGGGGTTTACCATGTTTGCTCCCCTTTGTTTAAGAATTAGTCCTGCACTATTTATCATCCCATATTTCAAAACAATGTTATGTTTTGTCATGTTTTATTGTTTAAGATAGGAGAATAAGTCTGTTCTCTGAATTTCAGCATGTAGAGAAGTAGAGGTTGTTACTCATTCCTCTTTTTTTCATCCTTCCACCTTCTGAAAGAGGCAGTGTGTCCCTCAGAGCATTATGGAAGATCATGTGCTTTCCTTTTATTCCACACATTTACAAATCTCCTCCCCATTCACTGGAATCTTCCTTCCTAACTTCAATGATAAACTACCCTACCTTTTGCCTAGGTTCTTGTTCAGTTCAGTTCAGTCACTCAGCTGTGTCCAATCTTTGTGACTCCATGGACTACAGCATGCCAGGCTTCACTATCCATTACTAACTCCCAGAGTGTGCTCAAACGCATGTCCATCAAATAAGTGATGCCATCCAGTCATTTCATCCTCTGTCATCCCCTTATCCTCCTGCCTTCAATCTTTCCCAGCATCAGGGTCATCTCCAATGAGTCAGTTCTTTGCATCAGGTGGCCAAAGTATTGGACCTTCAGCTTCAGCATCAGCATCAGTTCTTTCAATGAATATTCAGGACTGATTTCCTTTAGGATGGACTGTTTGGATCTCCTTGCAGCCCAAGAGACTCTCAACATCATAGTTCAAAAGCAACAGTTCTTTGGCACTCAGCTTTATTTATAGTCCAACTCTCACATCCATACATGACTAATGGAAAAACCATAGCTTTGATTAGATGGACCTTTGTTGCCAAAGTAATATCTCTGCTTTTTGATATGCTGTCTAGGTTGGTCAGACAGATGGTAAAGTGTCTGCCTGCAATGTGGGAGACCTGGGTTCGATCCCTGGGTTGGGAAGATCCCCTGGAGAAGGAAATGGCAACTCATTCCAGTACTCTTCCCTGGGAAATCCCATGGATGGAGGAGTTTTGTAGGCTACAGTCCATGGGGTTGCAAAGAGTCAGACACAACTGAGCAGCTGCAGTTTCAGTTTTCTAGGTTAGTCATAGCTTTTCTTCCAAGGAGCAAGCATCTTTTAATTTCATGGCTTCAGTCACCATCTGCAGTGATTTTGGAGCCCAAGAAAACAAACTCACTGATTCCACTGTTTCCCCATTTATTTGCCATGAAGTGATGGGACTGGATGCCATGATGTTACTTTTCTGAATGTTGAGTTTTAAACCAACTTTTTCACTCTCCTCTTTCACTTTCATCAAGAGGCTCTTTAGTTCTTCTTCACTTTCTGCTGTAAGAGTGGTGACATCTGCATACTTGAGGTTTTTGATATTTCTCCTGGCGATCTTGATTCCAGCTTGTTCGTCATCCAGCCTAGCATTTCTCATGATGTATGCTGCATATAAATTAAATAAGCAGGGTGACAATATACAGCCTTGATGTACTCCTTTCCTGATTTGGAACCAGTCTGTTTTCCCATGTCCTGTTCTAACTGTTGCTTCTTGACCTGCATACTGATTTTTCAGGAGGCAGGTCAGGTGATATGGTATTCTTATTGCTTGAAGAATTTTCTAGTTTGTTCTGATCCACACAGTCAAAGGCTTTGGTGTAATCAATAAAGCAGAAGTAGATGTTCTTTTTGGAACTCTTACCTTTTTGATGATCCTACAGATGTTGACAATTTGATCTCTGGTTCCTCTGTCTTTATTTTTTCTAAAATTCAGCTTGTACATCTGGAAGTTCACAGTTCATGTATTGTTGAAGCCTGGCTTGGAAAATTTTGAGCATTACTTTCCTAGTGTGTGAGATGAGTGCAATTGTGTGGTAGTTTGAGCATTCTTTGGCATTGCCTTTCTTGGGATTGGAATGAAAACTGACCTTTTCCAGTCCTGTGGCCACTGCTGAATTTTCCAAATTTTCTGGCATATTGAGTGCAGCATCATCCTTTAGGATTTGAAATAGCTCAACTGGAATTTCATCACCTCCACCAGCTTTGTTCGTAGTGATGCTTCCTGAGGCCCACTTGATTTCACATTCCAGGATATCTGGCTTAGGTGAGTGATCATACCATCTAGGTTATCTGGGTCATGAAGATCTTTTTGTATAGTTCTTCTGTATTCTTGCCACCTCTTCTTAATAGCTTCTGCTCCTGTTAGGTCCATAACATTTCTGTCCTTTATTGTGCCAATCTTTGCATGAGATGTTCCCTTGGTATCTCTCATTTTCTTGATGTGATCACTAGTCTTACCCATTCTATTGTTTTCCTCTATATTCTTTAGAACTCTGCATTCAAACGGGTATATCTTTCCTATTCTCCTTTGCCTTTTCTGTCTTTTCTTTTCTCAGCTGTTTGTAAGCCCCCTCAGACTACTATTTTGCCTTTTTGCATTTCTTGGGGATGGTCATGATCACTGCCTCCTGTACAAATGTCATGAACCTCTGTCCATAGTTGTTCAGGCACTCTATCAGATCTAATCCCTTGAATCTATTTGTCACTTCCACTGTATAATCAAAAGGGATTTGATTTAGGTCATTCCTGTATGATCTAGTGGTTTCCCCTACTTTCTTGAATTTAAGTCTGAATTCTGCAATAGGGATGCTAAATAAATAAAGTTGCTAAAACCTTTAGCTAGTTTAAGAAAAAGAGAGATGTTTCAAATTAACAAAATTATAGGAAAGAGGAGCATCAATTCTGATACCACAGAAATAAAAAGGATAAGAGACTACTATGAACAATTACATGCCAACCAGCTAGATAACTTACAAGAAATAGGTAACATTCCTAAAAACCTACAGCTTATCCAAGCTGAATCATGAAATAATAGAACATTTGAACAGATCAATACTGAGAAAGAGATTGAATCAGTAATCAGAAATCTCCCAATAAACAAAACTATGGTCCAGGTGGCTTCACTGACGAATTCTATGAAATGTTTAAAGGAAAATTAATGCCCTTTTCCTCAAGTTTTTCCACACACACACACACACACACATACACACAAATTGAAGAGGAATGA